CAAACTAAAATGCAAGACCTTAATTCAGTTTCGATTGCTGACAGTAAAGTTGAAGAGCGATCGATATGCTACGCCCTCCGCTCTGCTGTCACTTGTCTTATCCGTCCATCATTCAATGCAATCAACAAACAACCAAACAGGTGCTGCCAGCCTGAGCATTAATGAGAGCGAAGTTCACTCGTTTGAGTCATTGGCATTTAGTTTATAGAGCAAGGGGAGGAGTGCGATCAGTGAGCATTGAAATGTTAGTTAGACTGCGTGCAGAAAATCAAGAATGAGCTGGGACGATTATAGCTGTGATATAAACTAAAGAAAGTTGTCTTGCTTTATTATCAGCTAATTATCGCTAGTCTCTGTGGAGTGTGGGAAACTAATTCAGTGTGAGGCTCAACTAATTTAAGTTCGATGTTGGGAGTGCGAATCAGATCCTTTAATAGATTTATATAAACATATAGATATATTAAAAAGAAGCATTGTCGCAACTTCTGCAGATCAGATATTGAAGTGAAATCTTACATTTATACTATTGAAATTACTTTAATAAAAATATAAATATACGTTATATATACATTTAAATAGAAATAATAGCATTAATAAATATTAAACAAAATTGTCATAGATTTATATTATATATTTGTTTTTATATCGAACTAATTATTTCAACTATAATTTCTGTTCAATAATTTTAATGCTAAGAGAATTAGCATATATAGTAATGATCATTATTAGATTTATAAAATATTTAAAAGTCCTAAGCAGTCCTTTATGATAATGATAGTAATCATTATTAAAGCAAACTGGGAACTTTTTCCGCTGTAAAAGAAAGAAAACTGTTATAGATTTACACTGGGATTCCTTATATTAATCTCTGGAGCTTCGACCTTAGGTCTATTTAAACATATATGAATGACAAAGATAATGATCATTATTGTTAATATTTAACACTGAAACTTCGAGTTGTTTCCAGAAGTTTTTTGAATATTCTGTATATTAATTAACATAAATTCCGAAAATATTCTATATCTATAATAAAAATTAATTTTTAATATATTCCATATCATATTGAATATCCGCTTTTCATATGATAGGGTATCTATAATAAAGGTAATATGTAAATAAGTATGCCATTAAAAAAAAATCTTTAATGATCTTCACGCTAAAACTTATTGCAAAAGATAAATGAGCATCGTCTCTGCAATCCTTTCTTTTTGAGGTCATCGTAGAACTTTTAACAACTGTCATTGCTGAAGAAGAAGAAGCAGACGAACAAATAAACTAAGCTAGAAGTGAAACTGAAAATGAAACGAAATTTCAACTCGGACTCAACGGGCGCGTCACATCATAAAAACTTTGCTCGTTTCCGCTATGCGACAAACGAACAGGGAAAAAAATGTATAAAACGAAAAAAAATAAAGCTAAAATGAAAATGAAAACAAGAATGAGAATGAAAAAAAAAAAAAAAAAATACTCAGGGAAACAGGCTAAAGGAAACATTGTGAAAATCACGTGCGTGTCGCACTTTTCGTCGTCTTTTTTGTCGACTTGTGTAAATTTATTCGTCACATTCGCCCCGTTCGCGGCTTTTATTGTGCTCCGCAGTTCAAATAAGAGCGCAACATCATAACTTGGCCATAAAGTTGGGACAGACATCAAGAGCCAGCCGTCGTCAGCACTGGCCATAAAACGAAACAAGTTATAAAACTATATAGCATGGCCATATACAATGTATACGGCATTAAAACATAAGCATAAATTAGCCAAGAATCGTTCATAGTTTTTGCTTTTCATTAAAAGGATTTTTAAGGAAAAGAAATATTCGAGATGCAATTGAAATAAAGTAATTCTGGATATATTTAGCAATAATTAATATAAATTGATGTATTAAAATAAATTTGTACTTCTTGAAATATAAAAATACTAAATATATCCACAATAATTTAGTATTAGTATTTAAAATTAAATAAAAACATAATTTGAAATTAGGCAAGA